GGGGGGTGGGGTTGCGATGGGGGTAGGAGACGAGACTGAGGGATTCACTTAGAATCACTTAGAATTGGGACGAGGTTGGGGTGGCGAGTGGGGTGCTCGTGGTCGCCGTAGATTCGATGCGGGCTTGGTTTGCAAGGAGGGGGGTGTTAAGTGGGTTTTGAAATTCTACCTTTTTCCATGGCTGTGCCGGCAACCGGCCGGTTGGGTCCAAAAGTGGGTCAAAAAAAAAAAAATTTTTTTTTTGAAAACATGGTTGGACTGCGCTGACCGAGATCTCCCCGAATCCGCAAAGAAAACTTTGAACAGAGAAGTTTCGTTTGGGGGGTTGGGGGGTTGGGGTATTTCAGAGGTTGAGGGTCGGCGGTTGGGGGGTTTATGGTGAGGGTGTTAGTGGTGGGGTTTCAGCACGGGCTTCAGCATACATTGACAACAACGTTCCTGGCTTTCTTCAAATGTTGAGGGGGGTGGGGGTGTTAGTGGCAGGGTAGCGACGGTACTTCCCACCCAAAAACTTTGAAAAGGGGGGTAGGGGTTGTAGTGTTAGGGGGTGCTTCGTCCAAGTTGCCCTCGATACTGGTAGGGTGATGGTCCTGAGTGCTGGTCACACTGGGGTGTCAGTGGCAGGGTAGGGACGGTGCTTCCCACCCAAAAACTTTGAAAAGAAGGGTGGGGGTTATAGTGTTAGGGGGTGCTTGTCACTGCTGTCTGGTGACTGCCCTCGATACTGGTAGGGCGATGGTCCTGACACTGAGGTAGGATAGCAGGGATAGGGGGTGCGCTGGGAGCATTAACGTGGGGAAGGGTAGGGAAGGTGGCCTATCCTGTCAGGACAACCACCGGCTGCCGCTGCCAGCAATCACTGTGGGTCTAGTCCTTGGCCTCAACAACACCATGGGCTTAAAAAAAATAAAAAAAAAATAAAAAAAGATGCGCTACAGCCAACCGGGGGGGAACCGGCCCGGTCGACCGGCCGGTAGGACCGGTCCGGTTCCGGTTGGGGGAGGACCCCCCGGTCCTACCGGTTTTTCAGCACTGCCTTTTTCCGGATTGGTGATTAGGTGAAGACTGCGTGAAGGTAGTTGGTGGTGGTTTTGACGGGAGATGGCGGATTAGTTGGTGAGAGTCCGCGAGAATGGTCATAGGGGATGGGGGATGGGGTGGGGGGGAGGAGGGGAGGTAAGAAGGGGGTGGGGGAGTTCGGTTCTGGGGTATAGGTGTTAGTCAGGTTAGGGGTTCTTCACTTCGCTGCTAGGAAGAAGGATGATGGCGGAAGCGTTCTTCGTCAGGCTCTTCGGTCGGGTCTGGTCCGTCTCTATCCGTCTCTGTCCTGGACGTGGGTGGCCAGCTGGCTCTTCCTTGCTGGTTTCTCCTTCGTTGGGCTCCTGGCTGGGAGCTCCTTCTGTTTCCCTGCCTGACGTCGGCTGGCTGGGATGTCGCTTCTCCTTGGAAGGTGGTTGTCGGCTCCACGCAGCGCTGCCGCTGGAGGTCGCGGTCTGGGGTGTTGTTCTTCTTCTTCAAGTAGGTCTTCGACAGCTCCGAATGCTCGGAGATAGCGGCGATGGTGAGCTTTTACCGCTCTCCTCTGGCTTTGCATGCGCTGTCTGCATGCAGCTGCCAGGTCGATGGTGTGTGGATGAGTCGGGGTCGAGGTCGGGACTCGAGGTTCTCTCTCCCTCGTCCGGTCGGAGTCGGGACTCTCTCTCCCTTTGTCGAATATGTGGCTGCCTGTCTGCTTCGGAGTCGGAGTCGGGGCTCTCTCTCCCCTTGTTCGGTCGCTGGTGCGTGGGTGCGCGTGCCCGGGCGCGCGCTTGAGTGGGGTGGCGTGCCCCCTCGTGGCGATGGCGGGCGTTGCTTGCCCGCTTCGGATTCGAAATCGAAAAATGGCGGGCGTTTCGCACTGGCGGATGGGCGGGCGGGCGGCGGGCGGCAAGCGGCGGTGGTTGGATTGCGGTTGGCGTCAGCCCGTAGGCCGGTGCCGGGCGCTAGCGCAAATTAGCGCAGCGCAGTTTTTCGCGCTAACCGGTAGGCGCGGCCGCTTTTTTTCGCAGCCGTTGTTTCTCAAACTTCAAATACAAAATAACCTAACAAATAAAAAGTTAAAAACAAAATAACAGAATCATTCTCAAAACATATCCTAGGAGAAGGTAAGATAGCCACGATAGAGCAGGGTAGAATCCACTTTGGACAATGGAGACATAGTCACACGGCCCTATCCCAGATGTCGGATACTGGATACGACAGGAAGCCAAACACACCCCACAGGCATGACACTAGGCACCACGCGACACTACCTCACCAAAAACAAGGGTCGTTACCCAGCAACATAGTCAAGTAGTGGGAAATAGTTGGGGAATTAAATGCACTAGAACCAAACAGCAAGCAGATAGCCTCATGAAGGTAAGAATTGACAGATTCCCTTTCAGCAAAAGATCTAATTAAAACCCTGACCCATAAGATTCCTAACAGACCAACCACACCACAAACCACAGACGAGCACGGAAGCAGACCCCACCTGATAGGAAACCAGACCCAAGAAAAAGGATGACTAGACCATCTCCCTGGTTCCCTCACGAGAATACGGACGCCATCAAGAGGAAACACGGCCTACAAGGGTTATTCGATGGGCTAGGTTTTAGGGGTTTAGCAAGAAGCATAACAAACGTAGCTGCAGAGAGTACAGTTCTCACATATTCTCCATAGGCGGCCAAATCAGCAGTTCTAGCATGAAAGGAAAATCAGACAGCCTAGGAGCTGAGAGGAACTGGCTGGACGGAACATTAGGCAAGCTTCAAGTGGCAGAGTAAAATGGGACTTCAGACTAGCAGGAAAAGTAGGAGAAAAGTAGTGTAGGATAACTTAGGCAGGGGTGAGGGGTGGTACATCCTTCCAGACGGAAGTAATCAATGCCGTCCCTCGGGCCTCCACACCAGAAAGGGGAGGAGCGTGAGCGTGTCCTCGATGTAATTCCTTTGACCTGCCGGTGGGGGAACTGGACTGACGCTTAAAAAAAAAAAAAAGAAGGTATTGAGTCGTTCTTGCTCTGGTTTGCATAACTTATAGCTTCCATTGGGCCTCACTGCACTACTCTCCACATGCACAAAAGAATGACTCTGTCTGGTCGCCTCTTTACAAATCTGAAAGCTTGTGCTGGGTGAGTCTGCTTCTTGAGTAGGCCCCAGTCTCCTGACTTCCAGGAGGTCTTCTTTGAGGAGATCTATTCAGGCGGGGGAATGCTCTTCTGCATGTTTGTAAATTATCCACCAGAGAGTGGTATCCCTTTAGCGTATTCCTCAGTTCTTTATCGTTGAACCATCCCTTGTTCTCTTCTGACCATATGTGTTGTATTTTCCGTACTCCTTTTTCGACCCAGGAGAGCCATCTTCTGTCTGCTGTCGTGAGCGACCAGGGGGTCCCATTTTCATGTAGAATCAGTGGGTTGCAGAACAGGTGTTGTCCCAGAACCAGAACCTCGTGTGGTTTTCCAATTTTCTGTGGGAGCATTTTACGCCGGTTCTTAACGATGGAAGCCCAGGATGGGGTCAGGGTGTGGATTTATGTTGATTATTTTGTTCATATGTTCCCCTTTTTCCTGTGCTCTTTGCTTACCTAGACAAACAAAAAACAAGTTCTACTAACGTAGAACATTCTTCTTGCATTTATAAATCTTTACTTCATTATCTTTACAGCACGACAGCCTACAAGTCACAAAACGATTTGTGCTTTTGTATTGACAATTTTGTCATCAAACTATCCTTTGGACTAGGTCTCAAATTTCCAGTGGTGTTTTCTGTTCAACAAAACTGACAGTCGACCGTCATATATGACATGAGACAACTGGAGTTTCAAGAATGGTTCCTAGTCATTCAGTACCAGGTTACTGAATTTAAACTGAAGCCTTGTGGTTGTTTCGCATGGCTGTCTCTTCAGGAACTTCTGGTCCGCATTCGGTACTTCGAGGCGGAGGCTCGATATGTTTGGGTGGAAGGGGTTGGAAAGGTTGACCCAATGGATGAAGCACCAACGCTGGATGCTGGTTTAGAACATGGTGCAAATTATTGGGATGCAGACAACCGCACCTATCACGTCTTCTTACGTGGACTCGTCCAGAACGGCGCAGTGGAGATTCGCGTCCGTCCTTTTGTCATTGTGGGTGCTCTCTCTCTCTCTCACTCATTCTGCTTGTAATCATGTGATTGCCTAATTTAGGATTTTTCTAGAGTAATTGATGCAAGAATAGAATAGCAACAAGCAAAAAGGAGTACATACCCCATGAACAGAGTCATAGCTTAATCCTCAGTCTGATGTGAAATAGAAGAAAAATCAAGGAGGCATTCTGGTACAGAATAGGTAGGCTCCCGCATCCCTCCCCCACCCGGCCTCTCTCTCTCTCTCTCTCTCTCTCTCTCTCTCTCTCTCTCCTGTCTCTTATACACATCTAGATGTGTATAAGAGACAGTCTCAGTACCAATAGACTAGACTTAGATTGAGAA